TCAGACTCTGAAACAGGCTCCAGGCTCTGAGCTGGCAGTCAGCACAGAGCCCGACGCGGGGCTCGAACCCACGAACCGCAAGATCATGACCTAAGCGAAAGTCGGACGCTCAACCGACTAAGCCACCCAGGCGCCCCTCCATCTCGATGATCTTACCTGACATTCAGGAGCGAACTTACCGCTTCACCCGCCCAGTACTGTCCTGACTCAATTCTTTCATTCTTTCTTCTATTTTGTTCAGAAGCTACAATGAAAAGAAAAGAAGTCAACGGGCTTACTTACAGAACAAGCTAAGAGGAACAGCTAAGTTACAGACCAGGAGGCTGAGGCCGTGGTGACGGAGCTGTGCGATACTCTGGTCCTCCCCCACCCCTTCAGCAGTCCGCATACCTGGCCTAGTTCCACACACCACGACAACTAGCCCTCAAGGTGCCGACCTAACCCCGGTTTAAGTCACCAGCAAGATAACGGGAAAGGGGAGAGCAGAAAGATAGGGCACATAGAACGTCCCGCTTAAAGGTGCACATTCCACCTAGCGGCAAGTAAAATTACTCAGTATTCGAGCAGCCAAGGGAATGACGACAAGCCAGGTTCCTAACAATAAATGAGGAACAACTATTTTTCTTCTAAAATCATTTATCTGGAGGGAGGAAAGTTTAAAGTTAACTGAGACATCAGCAATTAAGTAAGATAATTTTATTAAAATAGACAGTTAATGACCCTCCAGTACTTATAATCACATTGAAGTAAATAAAAAGTCAATAAAAGTGAAAAACCAACACGGTCAACTTCTTGGCCTTGGGACTCGCCATCATAACTCTGAAGGTCCAATAACACCAGTCCATGTGGGTATATTCTCAAATTGGCAAAACTACAAAGGAAAGTATAAATTTAAGGTTAGGAATCGTATCAAGGCATTCACAAGAAAAAGACATCAACACACCCAATTAAAAGGAAAGACCATTGCTCTTTTTTCCCTAAATTACATAGTTAACCATTTTGGTTTCTTAGGAGAGCCTCTTCTTGGGGGTGAGGGAGCCACCAATCAGGAAAGATTGAGATGGAGTCCCTACATGCTAACGTTTTCACGTAACAAGTTCTTGGGCCCAGAAAGCGACTCAGTAGCAAGTTTTGTGAACCTGTTTTTTTAAAGTTTTCTTCAAAGTAAACTCTACCCCCAACGTGGGGCTCAAATGCATGATCCTGAAATCAAGGATCTTGATGCTCAGATCAGCATGCTCTACTGTCTGAGGCAGCCAAAAGCCGCTGCGAACCTGCTTTTGAAGAAGGATCCAGGGCAAGTTATTGGGCCAGGCCTAGTAACCACGGCCGTAAGATGAAGGGAGGATAGGATAGGGCATTTGGGTACTCCCAATTAACCTCCAGAGGGTTCAAACCAGAGCCGTGTTTTTCTGACTACAAGCAGGTGGTGGTTAAACTGACTGAGATGGGGGCTGGCACACCGCAGCCCTACACTGCCCACCTGAGCCAGCCTGCAAGCTGTTCTGCAAAGCCTCCAGACTAAGAATGGTTTTTACATTAAAAAAAATTAATGTTTTTTATTGATTTTTGACAGAGAGAGACAGACAGACAGATAGACAGACAGGGTGAGCAGGGAGGGTCAGAGAGGGAAACACAGAATCAGAAGCAGTCTGCAGGCTCTGGGTGAGCTGTCAGCACAGAGCCCGATGCAGGGCTCGAACCCATGAACTGTGAGATCATGACCTGAGCCGAAGTCGGACGCTTAACCGACAGAGCCACCCAGGCGCCCCGGTTTTTACATCTATAAAGAGTTGTTTAAAAAGAGAGAGAGAATCTGACACTTTATATGGCTTCTTCAAAAATGCTTTCCGACCGCTAATCTGATAATCTGCATATTATTCTCAAAATATTTTAAAACATCAGAGTGTATCACATGCAGTAGGAGCTAATTATTTGGAAAAACTTGTTTCAGTCATACATGTGCATCTGTACTGTATAGACACAGAGAAGTGTGTACAGGGTTATGACATAAAATTACTTCTTAGTGTTAAGTTGTGGTTAAAGAAACATGTGAAAAACGCTAAATTAGAAGAATTCTGTTCAGAGAATACCGGCAGTGTGCTTACATTAAAAAAATAAACCCTACTAGTTAATTTTACCTTCAGCCTTTAAATGGCCCCAAATCAAGTTCAGGCCCAGGAAAGCACAAATCAATTACACCTGAATGGAGCTAATCATCTTTCCCTCCCCCTCCACCACCAGCAGCACAAAGGACAGAGGCTGGGGATGGGGGAAGGGTAGAAAAACATCTCCTTTAACCACCTGATTGATTCTAGCTGAGTCCTCTGCCAGAGAACACAGAACACGAACAATGCTGGAAGTTAAGGTCAAGTACCAAACTCAACAGATTAAAACCAGAAATAGAGAGGAAAATCTGTGGGGCGGGGGCCCGGTGAGGTGGAGAACAAGTGGCTGAGGATCAGGGTCTCAGCATCACAATGTGGCCTTTAGCCAGAAGTCAGGCAGAAGCAGTGTGCCAGCCCCCTCAGCCAGGTGGCCTCCTAGCCTCCCCCATCCATGCCCGGGCGAGAGAAGTGAGACTTCAGGACAGGAACCATGGGGATGAGTCCCAGTTGACCAAGCAAGAGAAGGAGACCAGTGTGGAAAATAAGTTTTTCAACTAAGCATGTTGGGCGGCCTGGGTGGCTCAGACAGTTAGGCATCTGACCAGCTCAGGTCATGATCTCAAGGTGTGAGTTCAAGTCCCACACTGGGCTTTCTGCTGTCAGCACAGAGCCTGCTTCAGACCCTCTGTCTCCCTCTCTCTCTGCCCCTCCCCTGCTTGTACTCTTTCTCTAAAATAAAAACATTTAAAATAAGCATGTTGCGGGGGGCACCTGGGTGGCTCAGCCAGTTGAGCAGCTGACTTTGGCTCAGGTCATGATCTCACAGTTCCTGAGTTCCAGCCCCGCGTCGGGCTCTGTGCTGACAGCTCAGAAGCCTGGAGCCTTCTTCGGATTCTGGGTCTCCCTCTCTCTACCCCTCCCCGACTCATACTGTGTGTGTGTGTGTGTGTGTGTGTGTGTGTGTGTGTGTGTGTCTCTTTCTCTCTCGAAAATAAATAAAAACATTTTAAAAAATAAAATAAGCATGTTAATTTTCATGTTTTCTGCTTTCAGAAGCCAACAGCTCTTGTCAGTCAAAATTCGCTTCCAGGAAGAATTCTAGACCCCCTACACAACTGGAATTGGTGTACACGGTAGAAAATTCAGTAAGTGACGTAGAGAAGTAGGGAGGGCCTGGCTACAAAGTTAGGAGACTGTTAAGAGACTCAAGGCTTCACCTGGAGTGGAGAAGAGGCCTCCTGGGGTGGCAAGGTGACACGGCTCGATTTGCTGTGGTCCCCAAAGGATGGACCACACCCAGGACAGCAAGAGACCATGGCAGGGAAGGTGGAGAAAAGAGGCCAGGACAGAGAGGGGATAAATACAAGCCTGTAGGAACTGGAAGGGTCAAGGACAGCTGCAGATCTCTACTTCCAGGAAATGTGCTGTTAACTGCAGTAGAGCATGGAGGAGGGAAGGGAGGAGAGTTTGGTGGTGATGTTGATTTGGGGTCACCCTTGAAGAAGAAATTATTTTAGGTACATTTGAGGTAACTGCTAAACACGTATATGGAGGTCTGCTACATAGAAATACAAATCTGGGCTTAGGGAGAGAGGGGCCGGGGGGGGGGAGTTTTTGAGAGGCATCAGGAGAGCATTACTCCCCTGGGGTGGACCATACTGACTTATAAAGAGAATAATGGAAGGGGGAGTGGTGCTCAGAAGTAAAAGTTTCCCTCATCTTCCAGCATTGCCTTCTGGATGTCTGTAACATCGCGGGGGTGGTTATTTTTCCTTTCAATAGAAAAACAAGTGAGAAAATACGGGATATTAATGAAACCATGTGGAATTCTAGTACTTTGTACTTTGGGGGAATGGAATTAAAGTCACTGAAAATTCCCAGGAATTCACATTTTAAAATTAACACGGCAGGGGTGCCTGGGTGGTTTAGTCGGTTAAGTATCCAACTTGGCTCAGGTCATGATCGCACAGTTCGTGGGTTCGAGCCCTGCGTCAGGCTGTGTGCTGACAGCTCAGAGCCTGGAGACTGCTTTGGATTCTGTGCCTCCCTCTCTCTCTGCCCCTGCCCTGCTTATGCTGTTTCTGTCTCTCTCTCTCAAAAATAAATAATAAACATTAAAATTTTTTATTTTTTAAATTAATAGTGCAAGTCACTAAGAATCCTACAAGTTTTGCACACTTAACCAGACTGGAAAGAATACAAACCTAGACTTAGGAGGGCACAAAGAGCTCAATGCACTGATACTGTCTTCTTCTTCTTTTTTTAATGTTTTATTTATTTCTGAGAGAGAGAGAGAGAGAGAGAGAGCAGGGGAGGGTCAGAGAGAGAGGGAGATACAGAATCTGAAGCAGGCTCCAGGCTCTGAGCTGTCAGCACAGAACCCGACGCGGGGCTCGAACCCATGAACTGTGAGATCATGATCTGAGCCGAAGTCAGACACTTAACCAACTGAGCCACCCAGGTGCCCCAGCACTGGCATCTTCTTATCGGTCAATTCTTAATTTAGGTTTCCTTCCCTATTCCCAGAACACAATGGTTTTCATCTACATATTGATTATGTAAAGTCTCGAGAGTCTATATAGTCTTATGGAAAAAAAAAAACCATTGAAATCTTGGATCCCCTCAGCTTTCTGTCAACCTCCTTGTAGATATTTGCATCATGCATTTGACCATGGTTTGCATTAATTAATAATAACTTATAACAGTGCTACTTGCAGTGGGATTCACAGTGGGGTCAGCCAACCAGCAGCAACCAACACCCCCGGGAGCTTGCTAGAAATGCTATTTAGGGTGCTGCCCCAGAGCTACCGCATCAGAAATTCTTGGAGTGGGGCCCAGGAATCTTTTAACCAAGTCTGAATCGCGGCCTGCCAGTTCACCCTGCTTACGCTGCCCAGGGGGGTTCTGGGTCCTGGCCATGCAGCAGAAACACCTGGGCAGAGGGGTTTGGAAAAATACTGATGCCCAGTGGCCTCAATCTCTGGGACAATGACTGGGGTAATGGCATCTTGTCAAAGTGCTTCCAGGCAAGTCTACTGTGCACCTAGGGCTGTGAAGCCCTGAATTTTAGCTCCCTCCTACAAGATGTCACAAGAGGAAATAAAAATACCTGGATACCACCCCACCACTGCCCTTTGTCCCCCACCCTTTACCCCCGCTCCCAGCTGAAGTACTCAGATCAGAAGAGCAGCACTCAAGGCCACCTCACCTGCCATTTTTGTTTATGTAGGTCGCTAAATAACCATGGTCTTGCCAGGTGTGCACCGACTCCGTCATCCCTTGCTCCTGGAAAATGGACTGGAGGCCTTTTAGAATGCTCTCACCGTCAGCTAGAGAACAAGGGAGAGAAGGCAAAGTGATCAGGATGAAGTACATTCCAGAATGAGGCAGTTTGACAACTGAACTTTCTGAAAAAACCTGAACAAAGAGTTGCCAGGGGCACCTATCCCTTTTGTCATGAGCTGTGTAAACATTCAAGTCCATCAGGAGATGCTACACAGATTACCAGGTAACACAATAAAGACACCAAAAAAATCCACAAAATACTTGTGCCAAAGATGCATACATGTATTCAGCCAACTAGAGATGGCACAACAAAATGTTTAGCCTAAATCAGAAATCAAAGAGATGCAAATAAAGGAGTTTCTACTTTACGGTAAACAAATTAATGAGAATATACAGAACTAGAAAGGGGATGTCCATTCACTGTTGATGGGTATAAGTGACTTCAAAACTTTTGGTTTTATGTTCCAGGATGGGTTGCTATTATAATTTGAAAAAACAAGGCCACACACTAACATATTTCTATATGTTAGAAAATGAACAATTCCATATGGGACAACCTGCCATGCACTGTGACCCCCTCCTTGGCCAGAAGTCAATTTTCCCCTCCAACCCCACCAACCTCCAAAATGGAGCTCGGTCAAGGTTATAGAAACTGCATTAATCTCTGAAGACTCACTTGATGCCAGAATCTTCAAGAATATCCAACATTATGATACTTAGAGGAAACACAAAATTTTTTTTTTCCCCTCTTCTAGTTCTATATGCTAAGCAGTAATGGTCTGAGAAAGGTAAGATTAAAAACAACAACAACAACAACCAAGATGAGACTAAAGGAATTACTCTGTACTGTCCTATGAGCCCTGTACAGGCTGGTGCTTTGTCCACATAAAATAGTAGAGGCAGCAAAACGTCAAAACGGAGAGTGAGTCTGTGACCTGAACCAAGGCAAAAGAAAAAACAAAAAGATTCACAGCTGACCACAGTGTGGTTTCACAAGAAAATTACACTAGAATCCCTTCCATAAACTAAGTAGCGCCAAAACCTGGACTAGAAGTTAGGATTTTTTTCACTGCACATAGAATGTATCTCCAGTGATGTCTGGAACTATGTTCTCAAGACCTTCCAGAGCACAGTAAGAATGAAGACCACATACTGGGTTCAGAGGCCAAATTAGACAGCAGATGTCTTATTCTGGCCAGCAGAGACTTTTAAAAAAAATTTTTTTTAAACTAGCTGCACCTTACAAACCAGATTTCACCTGCCTCCCACCCCTGCAGTGGGTGGAATGGTGGCCTCTCAAAAGATATGTCTACACACTAACCTCCAGAACCTGGAAATGTGACCTGGTTTGGAAAAAACATTTGGCAGATGTAATTATGGACCTAGAGAAGAGATCATCCTGGATTATCCAGGTGGGCCCTAAATCCAATGACAAGTGCCCTTATGACAGACAGAAAAGGAGACACAGGGATAAAGGAGGAGCAGGTGATAGGAAGACAAAAGTAGATATTGAACTGATAACAGCCACAGGCTGCAAACACCAGGAGCCACAAGAAGCTGGAAGAGGCAAGCAAGGACTCTCCCCTAGAACCTTTAGAAGGACCACAGCCCTGGCAAAGATTGTTTTGGACTTCTGGCCTCCAAAAGTGAGACAGAATAGGTTTCTGTTGTTTTAAGCTATCCAATGTGTAGCACTTCGTTACGGCAGTTCTGGAGGACTAATATACCAACCAAAATTCGTATTTTTAACATCACTAACAAACAATAGCGGGGTGCCTGGGTAACTCTGTCGGTTAGGCCTCCTACTTTGGCTCAGGTCATGATCTTGAGGTTCGGGAGTTTGAGTCCCATGTCAGACTCTCTGCTTTCAGCAGAGCCCACTTCAGATCCTCTGCCCACCCCTCTCTGCCCTTCTTCTGCCCATCCTCTCTCTCAAAATAAATAAACTTTAAAAAAAAAAAACAGCAAATAATGTAGCAAAAATGGCAGTGAAGGCATCATTTTTTAATCTTCCGAATCCCCAGAGACAGAGCTATTAGGCTAGCACAAGTAAAACTCATGGACAACATTTAAAACAAAACTAGATGAGCATGCACCCCAAAGCCCCCAAACAGGAGCAAATAGAGACAAGCAGGTCACAACCCAGAGGCCAGTGTGGTACCAGCACTGGTGAGACGAAGTGAGAAAGCAAAAGGACTTCAAACTGCTCATAAAAATACCAGCTGGGGTTTATGCACAAGGAAGGGCTTTCCTCCCTTGAGAAGACAGCACCCAGCAGGACACAGTGAGAGGAGCAGGGTACCTGGGTAGAGCCAAGGAATGTCAGGGTGGCCATGACGGTCAAATGAACTGAGGCTGCTTCTAGGGAAACACCGCCCCCCCACCAATCAGGGAAAGAACACTGGAGCAGAATGCACACCACACACACACATCACAAGCATCAACCAACACGAGTGATGACCTCATGTCTCATTAGTCTAGCTCATTCCCACAGAACTGTACCTTTGGGAAACTCATTTGGCAGAAAATAGCCGGCTTCGCTATTCTGAAATTGGTTTCAGGAAATTAAAAAAGGGAAGCCCGAATTTTATCTGCTGAATTATATTCGGTTTTAAGACTGAAATCCACCCCCTAAAAAAATTCTGATTTCAAACTTCATAAAAATGAACTGATCTTGTCCAATCTGTTTCTCAATGAAGCCCGGTGGGTTCAAGCCACCGTGGAAGTCACTGAGCTACAGGGCAGTAAAGACAAGCGTGCCCAGCGTGCCTGAGTCCCACATACCCCAAGCAGTATTTGCCCTGAAGAGGAAAGCCACTGTGTCATTATTAAATCCCTCCTTGGCCAGAACAGAAGTTTTCTCTTTTGAAAGTGTATAAAACAAGTCATCAGTCCTGGTAAATGGCCTCAAGACTGAGTTCTGTTGGCACATTACAGAACAGGACACAAATCCTCAATGCCGATGAAGGGGACAATCCAGACAGGGCCACCCTGTCACTGGCCAGGCTGTGCAGTGAATGAGGACCTCAGCTCCAAGGCTGAGCCAGGGCAAACTCTATCCCATGAGCCAGGGAAAGGGGGATCTTTGTCCGATACACCTAAAACCCTTGTCTGCTGGCCAAACGCAGCATGGCAACAGTCCTCTTTTTTAATTGGCACAATTAGCAGAAAGGCACTGAGGGGGCTAATGGAGGCCCTCCATCCAGCCAGGGTTCAAACTGAAGAAAAACACATTATGAAAGAAACCCAACTGAGAGTGTTACTTATTTCTGTACTGTGGGCTTGCCCCTCAGTTCAACAGAAATATGCCAGGTCTGAATGTTATTTCTGGCTGTCGCCACCACCCGATCCCTTGTGGGCACGGAATGTGCCAGGCCCGCCAAGGATACAGGGGCCATGCTCTTTCCCAGTACCCTCCTGCCCTCTCCTGTCTTGTCATCCACGTGGCTCACAGCCCTGAGAGAAGACAGAGAGGGGAGGGGAGCCAGAGCTGAAGCAACTGCCCAACAACTCTTTCCCAGAACCAAGGTTTTAAAATGAAAACAAAGCCATGAAGTGCCTAGTTGCTCAGTCGGTTGGGCGTCCAACTCTTGATTTAGGCTCAGGTGGTGATCCCTGGGTCGTGGGATCAAGCCCCAAGGTGGGCTCCACGCTAAGCATGAGCCTACTTAAGAATCTCTCTCTCTCCCTTTGCCCCTGTCCCCTGCTTGTTCTCTCTCCTTCTCCCTAAAATAATTTTTTTAAAAATTCTAAAAATAAATAATTAAAATAAAATGAAGTCAAAGACTGAGCCCTATTAGGTCTTAACGATGTAGCTAGCTTGGTCATCTTAATCTCAGGTGCTCATTAAGTGTTTTGCGGGGAAATAAAAATTTATTTCAGTTGGCTAAATTAATCATCCATGTTGCTATATCTTTGCAGAGTTTCTAGAACATCTAAATCAGTGGTTTTCAATCCCAGCAGTGCATTATAATCAGTGGGGAGTTTTAAGAACTGTTCTGTCACATCCTAGACCAATCAAATAAAAATCTGGGAGGGGGGACCCAGGGGTCAGTATTTTTCAAGGCTCCCTGGGAAATTCCAGTGCACATCCATGATTGAAAACCACTGATCTATACTCCTAAAGAACAAGAACAAACAAGGAATCCCCGCTATTTCCAAACTAATTACACTCGAGGCACCAGAAGGTTATAGAAAATGTTGAACAAAGTCTGAAAAAAACCGAAACTCCTTACTAAGTATAGCCACAGGCAGGCTAGGACATGCCCCACAAAATGCTTTGCGGTTATTATCCAATTTCAACCTTCATGCTTGTCGAGTAAGAAACCTGTAACATGACCAAACAAAATATATTTGGCTATATTAGGATTCCTCAATTGGGGATGGCAACATATGGTGTGAAGGACTGTCTTGTCCCACACAGGACCTTGGCAAACCCAGTCATACCCACTACACGTGGGCAGTGGCCCCCTTTGTTAAAATAAAAAAAAAAAAAATTAAGGGGGCGCCTGGGTGGCTCAGTCAGTTAAGTGACCAACTCTTGATTTTGGCTCAGGTCACGATTTCATGGTTTGTGTGATCAAACCCCACATCGGGCTCTGCACTGACAGTATGGTGCCTGTTTGGGATTCTATCTTCCTCTTTCTGCCCTTCCTGTGTGCATGTGCTCCCTCTCTTTCTCTTTCTCTCGTCTCTGTCAAAAATAAACAAATAAATAGGGGCGGCTGGGTGGCTTAGTCGGTTAAGCGTCCGACTTTCGCTTAGGTCATGATCTCGCGGTTCGTGGGTTCGAGCCCCGCGTCGGGCTCTGTGCTGACTGCCAGCTCAGAGCCTGGAGCCTATTTCAGTCTGTGACTCCCTCTCTCTCTGACCCTCCCCTGCTCACGCTGTCTCTCTCTCTCTCTCTCCTAGAAATAAATAAAACATTAAAAAAAATTTTTTTTTTAAAAAATAAAAATAAAAAAAAAATAAACAAATAAATAAACTTTAAAAAACAGGGACGCCTATATGGCTCAGTTGGTTAAGCAACCAACTCTTGATTTCG